ATCATTGCCGAACAAAATTGTGAAAGCCGAATTCTGGGAAGGATGAAATTTGACGAAATGGAGCAGTAAAAATGATCATAATCTCATAATATACTGATGATTAATATATGATAATATTGTAATATTTATTCTACATGTGGAGCAATGCAATGCCTCAATGTTTCTTGATTCAGTACATTGCACCCTCAATACCTTGTTTTCTTTCTTCTCTCTGTTTGTGGCTAGTTTGACCTGACTGAGTCTCAGGCATTAAAATTTGTAGCTTGTGTTTCTTAATATTCTACTGAGCAGAAGAGGTAAGGAGACCATTTCCGCTTCGGAAAGAAACTTAGCTTGATGTAGATGTAAGATATTTTCTTAATTTCTTTGAAGTTTCCTGATACCAGATTCTAGCTCTTATTTTCTTTCTTTCTGTTTGTAGTATCAGAGTTTTCAGTGTGAGGGAAGTAAAAGTGATTTGTTTTATTGTGTCATCCACGCAAGAAAATTGTCTAGTCATCACATGCCATTGACATCCTTATCATGCTCGCCCAGACATTCCTGTTTTATACTTCTGTAGGATCATAATCATATATGTTTTCTTGCCTTTTATGCAAGAAGTAGATCTAATTAAATTTATATGCGGCATGCCATTAACACTCATAGTTTCATGTCATGTTTGTGCTTTATGTCTCTCCAGGATCAGCGAAAGACTCCTCAAAACATGTTCCGACCACTTGTATCAAGTGTTCCTTCATCCACCTTTTATGTTGGAAAAGCAAATAATACATATCGGCCTATGTTCTCTAGAAATTCTTCGTTCACAACGAGCACCAATGCAAGCACTGATCGAGGTGCCATTATTGCACCTGATATGGAGGGTGGTGAACATGATCAGTGGGAAAGAACACATGATCCTGATACCCAAGAAGAAGTGTTTATCTTTGATAAGGTGGATGAAACAATTGAAGATACTGGTCAAGAGTCGCATGCAGGAAATCCTCTTAGCATTTCTAGAAGCTCTGATACGTATATTTCTAACAGAAATGATGCACCTGAATTTGAAGGTTCTGGGGTTAACTTCCGTGGTGTAACTTGCACAACTGTTGTTGAATCTACCTCTGGTGATTCATATATAAATGATGTTCGTGAAAATATGGAAATTTGCTCTCAATGTGGAACACGGTTCCCTGTTTTGGGAGTCGACGGGAATGTAAAGCTTTGCCAAGATTGCACGGAGGTAGATGGGCTCTTAGCTGAAGGAGAACCTTCATTACATCCAATGCTGGCTCAGACAGTTGAATCCGAAGTGACCACTGGAATGGGTGTAACGGCAAAAGAAATGCAGCTTACTGTTGGTGTTCATCAATTGCCTGAAAGGAGCAATGGCAAAGTTATCCTAGGTCATCATGAAAACAAAACTGAAGAAGGGCTTAGTTGCCTGGATAAAAGTTGTCCTGTTCAATCGATGGTGGATCAATCAGAATCACACCCTTTTAACCAGCAACTAGAGAGAAAGCTAGATGGATGTTCTACCCACTCTGATAATGGAAATAAATTTGAACAGACAGAACCCACTTTATATCCTAGTCATAGGATCAACAATGCTGAGGGCACAGGAATATCTGCACTTCTATTGCAGCAATCGAGTGGTAGCAAGTGGCCTGTTGTGCAATCCAGGGCTTTTTCCGTGACAAATATACTTTATGGTGATTCTTCTTTTGCAAGGGATGATACAAGTGTATTGAGAAAGAGCATTGGGCAAGATAGTTTTTCTCCTTCTTCATCGGTGGATCTGGGATCATCCAGACAAATAGAGGCTCACATTCGATGTCAAATTAGCTGCAGGAAAAGCGAAATGGAGAGTGTGAGAAGTGATACAGATGCAAAATCTCAGTGCAGTGGATCATATTCTGATCTTGCAATTAATGCCTATGAATCATCAGTTCCTACCGAAAATGAAATTGAATGGAACTTTAATAGTCCTCTGAAGGGGATAGAAAATGATCCTTTGCAAAAATCAGGTTTACTTACTGCAGAGCTTGATGGTTCTTCAGACCGAACAAATATGAGTGCTGCAAATCTCTCATCTTGCAGGGCAGATTTTGGTGATAGTGATGCTCATATTAGTGCTGACTGTTTTGTTGGAAAAGACACGTATGATGCTCAGTTGTTGAGTCACATGGAAAGACATTATTCTGAAACTTTAGAAGTAGATAATCTAAAAGATGAAGACTGCCTTTCAAGGATAAATGCTGATGAAGGTCCCGGGAGAGAGAACAAAAGGAGTTCTCTAGATGTAGAAGTATCCAACAGCATTCCAGATTCTTTAATGATTTTGGAACAAAGTTTGCTGAATGATCCTTCTTGTCAAAGTGATGTGTCTGATGCTGTCACAAATAGCTCCTCACTTGTTATTTTAGAATCAAGAAATAATCATGATAGTTTTCAAGATCTGCAAATTGAGTGTGAACCTGCCAATAATCCAAGCGAAGTGGAGGTATTTCATGAACATTCTGCTTCCACAATATCTGAGAAAGGTGTGCTTGTTTCTGTTTTGGAATCTGATCTCGATGATTGTGCTCATGGTACCCAAGGTATGAAGTTTGTATCTTAAATTTTTAGCACTGTCTTCTCTTCTATTGACTAATATGTTTATTTACATTTTCTACCTTTGCTTGTTCTGTTATTCAAATGGTTCTCGCGTTAAATATGCTAATTTTTCAACTCTTATGCTGGTAATTATTGTTATGGTCTGTGCTTGAAAAACAACATGGCATGCTGTGGTTGAAACAATGTTGATGGTTGCTTTTACAAAATGACTTTACAGGTATAAATTTAGCTCTAACTTCAGATTTATGGATAATGTATTGGTGTTTCCCATTTTAAGTAATGCTATAGTGGAATCCACATGGAGCAGATATATAACTTTTTGATAATCCGTAGTGGCATGACCTCAATGCTCAATTTAGTATGATGACCTCAATGCTCAATTTAGTATGATGTGACCTTTCTGTGCAGAAAATGTTATTTATGTTAGTATGACATCATTATACATATTTGCAGTGTAGAGAAGCTAGAGTGCAGTGTAGAGAAGCTAGAGAAGGCAAAGTTCTTATCCATTTAACCCTAACCTGTCTTAAATAGAGATTAAGAGGATATTACAAAATAGGTATGAAATAAAATCATATCTCATCACATCTCACAATATGTCAATAATATCTCATAATATCTTCTAAATCTAAATATCAATAATATTTAACACCCCCCTCAAGCTGGAGCATATATTACTATATATGTCCAACTTGTTACAAATCGAAATAAAACAGCTGGTTGCAAGAGCTTTGACGATGACATTTTTGTCCGAAATACTTGTAGGTATCAACAATCAGAAAAGTATAGTAACAGTTAGTAGAAACCCTAGGCGGGTTAGCCAATAGAGAGTAATCCTAGGCGGATCAGCCAATAGAAAGTAATCCTAGACGGGTCAGCTAGTAGGAGATAGTCCTAGACGGGTTAGCCGGTAGAAAGAAATTGTAGGCGGGTCAGCCAGTAAAAAGAAACCCTAGACGAGTCAGTTAGAGAAGCAACGTCGAAATTAACTACGTGCTTTTGCATCCAACCATCGGGAGATGGTGAAGAGCGAAACAGTTCACGATGACACTATACGTGTCTTACTGTTCATCGATGAACAGTTCCGTGCTGAATAGTGCTTTTTCCTTTTTGGGGTTAGGTTTTTTTCCAGAGTAGAGCCTTTTTATTGAGGTTCAATAAAGATTTAGTAAACAAATGATGTAGAAATCAAAGATGTTATTGAAACCACAGAAGATGTTGCCGTAGCTGTCAAGGGGAGCCTAAAAGCCACGCAAAACCCCCTCGACAACCTCGAGGTCTAGAAAGATGGAAAAAATTGCTAGGATCGAGTAGGTTCTGATACTATCTATAGAATGAGAGAAGACAAATTCTTATCCATCTAACCCTAATCTCTCTTAAATTGAAATTAGGAGGATAGTGCAAAATAGGTATGAGTTAAAATCATATCCAATCACATCTCACCATATCTCATAATATCTACTAAATCTAAATACTAATAATATCTAACATGCAATGTCATTAAAAAATGAACAGAGTATCTTCCGGAGTAACTACTTTATGATGTTGGGACTGCCCACATAAAAAGGAAAGAAATAAACAGAATTAAAATATTAATTTCAAAGTTGTTTTAGTCCACATTCCACAGTTGAAAGCAAAGTCAGTCATGAGCTACTGCCTTTGTCACGCCCCGAGCCTGCGGGCCCTTTGGCGCGTGCGAGCCATGGGGCCCACCGAGTGTAACGTGCTATTTGGCTCAAACCACTGCCAAAATGACTAGTCGATGTTACACTTGAGTTTTTGGCTTCACTATATAAACCTTTAAATATCTTATTCTCTCACCGATGTGGGACTATAACTTTGGATCAGTGGGATGTCACATTTACCCTACCTTACAAAGGCGACGTCCTCATCGCGACATGATAATTAGCACATCCCAGGCTATCAGGCGATGTGGACTCTAGAGGTACATCCTACGGGCTCTAGAGGTGTCTCCCACCACACAGTGTAGCACTTAGTCCCGTATAGCACTTAGTTTCACATTTCCGACTGACAACTTCTCTAATACCATTTTGTCACGTCCCGGGTCTGCGGGTCCGTTGGCGCGTGCTAACCGTGGGACCCACAGAGTGTAACGTGCTATTTGGCTCAAACCACTGTTAAAATCGACTAGCCGATGTTACACTTGAGTTTTTAGCTTCACTATATAAAGCTTTAATTATCTTATTCCCTCACTGATGTGGGACTATAACTTTGGGTCGGTGGGATGTCACAGCCTTACTCCCCAAATCTTTCTTATCAGCGAACATCTGCATAGTGAAGAGTTTATTTCCTCAAATAAAAGAGGAAAGTGCTCGTTACAATGTGCGAGCTATGAGAGAATGAATGTTCACCACGGATAAACATTCAGTTACAGAACTATATTTAAGACCCTAAAGTCTAAGTTACTGTATTTTACTAAGTTATTACCTCTTACTCAACCACTTATTAGTTTTTTAGTAAATAAAATCCATTTGAAGTTCAAGGCTTTATAGGGATTAGTTAAGAGCGTTTAGCAACCTCAAAAGGATTCATCTGAATTTCTCATAAATTGCAATGTGCTAAATAATAAAGGGGAGTTTGGTAGCTTGTATCTAGAATGGTTGCAACTCTAGTTGCATGCAACTGGGTCAAATTTTTTCAGTTACAAGCGTTTGTTTTGTGAACTCATAGTTGCAAAACAACATTTAGTTGCAACATATGACATATGTCAAAAATGATCGCAACTGCAAGTAACAGTTGCAACTTAATTGCAACAGACCCAAATTTATTGAAAATCAAAATCATTACATAATATTTAAAAAAGAAATTCATTAAAGATTTAAAATAATGTTTTTAAAATATTGTTATAATAATTTCTTCAAAGAAGTTTATAAAAAAGTTATTTAAAAATATTTATCCTAAAAAATGTTTTTTCTGAAAGTAGTATCTTAAAAATATTTTTATAAGATAATTTTTTTAAAATAATAATGTTTTAAAATATAATTATTTGAAAACATATTATTATTCTAGAAAAATAAAAATGTTATTCTTTTGAAAACTTTTATTTTTGATAACATGTTATTTTTTCATAAAATAATATTTTTCAAAAAGTATTATTTTTTAAGAAACATTTTTTTGAAAAATATATTATTTTCTAAAATAATATAATTTTCTTAAAAATAATATATTTTTAAAGTAGTATATTGTTTTAAAGTAATATATTATTTTTAAAATAGTATACTATTTTTTAAAATTATATGTTTTCCTAAAATATATTATTTTTTAAAGTATATTATTTTTAAGAAAAATATTATCTCTAAGAAAAACATTTCTTAAAAAAACTTTTTTGAAGAAATATTATTTTTTTGGAAATATTCTTGAAAAAACTAATTTTAAAAAGTATATGAAAAAATAAATTGAAAAGGTATTATGTTTCTAAAAAATAATATTTTCCTTGAATACAATTGTACTTTTTAAAATATTATTTTTAAAAAATTTCAATAATATGTTTTCAAAAAAACTTTATTTTTAAAATAATTTGTGGGAAAGATCTATTTTTTCATGAAATTCATTTACAAAACTATAGTTTTACCAAAAAATTACTTTACAAAATTATTTTATTTTAAAAATATTTAAAAATAATTTCTTTCATAAAATGTTATTTTAAAATATTTATTAAAAAGTGTGAAAAGAATTAATAACTTTAATAATTTATTAATGGTAAAAAAAATAAGTTGCATGTGTAAAGCTACAAACAAAATCAAACAGCTGCAACTGCAAGTTGCAAAATTTAAATTTTGAACCGAACAATTGCAATTGTAATTGCATGTAGGAAGAGTTCTAACGTCTCAGTTGCATGCAAGTAACACTTGCATTGCAGCTATAGTTGCATGCAACCAAACGCCCCCTAAATGAGACAGCCCTAAAATTCCTCTAAATTGTGGACCAGAAAAGAAGCCCTCTCAGTACATAGGCCATGAAGTAGGAGATTAGAATGTAAAACTTCACTGTTCTTGCGGACTTGATTATGCCTTTGTGTCAAACTCTTCCAGTGAAGAGAAACACTCAATTTTAAGTCTAAACATCTAAAGAGAATTCATCATCTCATCTTAAAATTGAGGTTTAGAATAATGTTTGAAATTGATATATGTTGGAAGTTCCAACCCGACATTTTCTTGTTAACACCATTGTCAGTCTTCTTTTCCAAAATGAACTGGGTTTTTGTTTGTTTTTGTTTCAGTAGGGTAGAAGGGGACACCATTTTGCAGTGGAGAAGAACTCAACTGTAACTATTAATAAATTATTAAAGTTATTAATTCTTTTCACACTTTTTAATATTTATTTTTTAAAAAATAATGGTTTTTATTATTAAGTAAATTGACTTTTAAATTTTTTTTAAAATTTTCGTAAGAGAATATTTTTAAAATAATATTTTATTAAAGGAATTATATTTAAAAAAATAAAATATTTTTTAAAATTAAATAATTTTTAAAAATAAATTTTTGGTAAAAATATAGTTTTGTAAATGAATTTCTTTAAAAAATAAATCTTTTCCATAATTTTTTTAGAAATAAAGTATTTTTTTGAAAAAATATTATTGAAAATTTTTAAAAAATAATATTTGACCATGGGTTGCAACAAAATAAATGCTTGTAACTAGACAAATTTGATCCAGTTGCATGCTACTGGTGTTGCAACTACTCCAGTGACAAGCTACCAAACTCCCCCTAAATGAAGTGATAGCTCACTATCTGTTTGCAATGAAATTCCAGACCCAATTGTTTCACACCTCTGATGTGGTTGTCTTTGATGGTTTCACTCTAAGTATCCTTTCTTCTAATTGTTCTTACTTTCTTGTAATTGGTCAATTTCTTTGCATTCTTCTTGCGTCGGGCTTATTCTCGTTGAGACCTTAGAATTTCAAGAGCGCTTGAAATGGAAAATTCTGAACTCTGTTTCCACTCTCTTCCACATGGAAATATCATTGTGTTGTGAATGCATCAAATTTCAAAGAATTCTTTTAATGACCAAGACATACTCTGCGCAAAATTTCTTTTTGTCCTTTTCTTTCTTTATTTTTACTCATAAATTTTAAACTTTATGGTGTCAGATTACTGAAAACTCCTCTGTAACATCATGTCATCACATGAAACTTGTTTGATCCAAACTCCATTACAACTTGTTGCAAATTAGTGGTGCTCATAAGCCTTTGATTAGGTTAAAGCCAGTAGTCCTGATATTGGCATCCCTAATAGCTTTAATATGAGAAATTTCCTGACTTGATCATGAATGCAATTGCTTCATGTAAATTTCATTTTAACTTAATTCAGGCTGCAAAATTAAGTGAGCTATTAATCTAACTTACATTACATTCTTATTTTCATGACTGGTGAAGAATAAATATTTTGCTTTGAGTTTTCAATAAAAGTATAAAACTAAAATTAAAGATTATATTTGTTGTCTAATTTGAACATGCTTATTTGGCAGAAGAGTCAACTGTGATAGTCGAAGGTCCAAGAGGACACACATTGAGAAGCTTGACACTTGCAGAAGCAACTGACACCATACTTTTCTGCAGTTCGATAATTCATGACATTGCCTACAAAGCTGCAACCATTGGAATGGAGAAGGAGGCTGTGGTGCCTTTAGAGCCTTTGAGGCCAACAGTCGCACTATTAGGAAACTCTGTTGACCAAAAGGACTCAAGAAAGTCTCCCACTAAAAATACACCAAAATCCCAAAAATTCAAAAGAAAGAAGCTAGAAACTCCGACCAAGTCACCGCTGAAAGAGTCAGGAAACAATGTGATTATCCAGGAATCATCGAAACTACCTGCAAATGCTGAAAATATCTCGAACAACGCTCCTGATAGTATAAAGCCCCCGAAATTGGAATCCAAGTGCAATTGCACTGTGATGTAGATAAAGGCTTTCCACAATGCATTTGACATATTTATCATCTGACAAATTCTCCTTTGTACTTAGCATATATACGTATCCATCTGATTTATTTGTAAGAAAATATCACTTGCTGGTATGGTGATTGTAAAATTGTAGTCCCCTGGGAGGTTGCAGAGGCCCCCCCTTTTCTTTTTCTGTTTCTTTTTCGAAATCCTTTTTTGTGTCTGGCTTTGTAATGCTGCTGCTGTATTATTTTGTTTGGAGAGAATGGTTGCAGTTTGAGCTATTCTTTTGTAAATCCTTTTCAGTAATCAATTATGTATGGCTTTTCAATAGTCTTATGCGTCTGAGATGTGTTATGTTTGCGTTGGAAATGTTTGGAGCTTGATTCTCTTTATCTGTTAGTTTTTGAATAATCACGATGCAAGTCCTGATGACGTACTCTTTTTGGTGGTAATTCATGCTTGTTTGTTCTGGAAGCTGTCTTTTAGAGTCTCTACGTGCTGGAAACTGGAAGATTTCAGTAGCAGCAACTTTTATTTATAACTAGCAATTGGTACTTGAGATGTTATGATAACTGTTTTATTGATTAAAAAAAATTTAGTTGTATGAAGCGGATCTTAATAACCCTTTTCTCCTCTTCATTTGCTGTGATACCAAATTAGTTGTATGAACCAATATTTTGAAAAGAATCATAATATTGGTTTTTCATTTGTGTTGAAAAGTAAATTCAGAACAAACAATTAAGTGCACCGAAGAGATAACAATGAAATTTGAAATTCCTTTTAGAAAAAGGAAATTTCAGTATTATGAGTTTATTAGCTAATTTGTACATTCTTTTGCCCATCCAATCATTCACATAAGATTTTCATGAATTGCCATTTTCTCGGAGTCTGCCCCCATAAACTTTTCTTTTCTTTCTTCTCTTGTAGAGGGAAGTCTGGAGTGTGAAAATTGTCTCTTGATCCTATCCACTACAAGCAAGAACGCAGATAAACTAAGTTCCTTTGGTCAGATGATTGAAGCTCAAAAGATCCAATTTCTTTATTGTAGAAAACGAAAATGCTATTTTTTTTACCCTTTCTTTATTGTTTATAAAGGAGTCCTCAGAGGATGAATAAGTTACTAACAAGTTGGCTGGTTTTCAAAGAATAATCCCTTTTTATGATCCTGAAACATCCCAAGCTAGCACATTCCTCTCTTTCAACAAATTAAAAAAAAAGTAATGTTTTACTCCTAACCATCCAACAGAAGAAACAAAAAAACAACCGTTAACTTCCTCCCTATGTATAGCATCCTTCTAAAATCATTGGCCTCTATTTAAGTCTCTGAACAAATCCAAATCTCTTTCTTTCTGCAGAAAAAATAAAAAAGAAATTAAAAAAAAATAAATAGAAAAGAAGAAGGAGAATCAGGAAATATGAGGATGATGGGCGAGTCGGGGTCTCCTTCAATAAATTCTACCCCCTCTTCATCATCATCAAGCTCAATTTTCTATTTCTCGATATTTCACAATTACCCTCTCATCACTGCTGTTTTCGCCTTTGCCCTCGCCCAATCCATCAAGTTCTTCACCACTTGGTACATTTTCTTTTCTTTTCTTCTCTTTTCTTTTTATCCCCCTCCTCTTAAGATTTTTTAAGGTCTGCTGATATTGTTATTTTGTTTCGAACGTGGTTTACAATGTTTGATCAATAAATGATCTTGAAATATAGATATTTAGGATTCTTGTGTGGTTATATATTGTAGATGAATTTGCTTCGACGTAGGATTTCAAAGCAAAACTTAAGGATTTAAATGGTTTGAAATGATGAATCAGTTTCACTACTTTTTGGGGGGATTTTTGTAGAAACCACCTTTGAAACAGGGTGAAAGGTCACCTTTGAAGTTCAATTAATAAAGAAACTACCTTTAAAGTGGATTTGATAGCAATCAACCACCTTGACTTCAAGTGTTGAATATATCTGGCTGAGAAGAAAAAGAAGAACTGAAGGAAGGGAGGAAAGATGAAAACAAAAGTTTGTAATGTGAAAATAAAATATTTAAAGGATTTCAATAGGTGCCACTCTTATATCTACATAGAAATATAACGTGCACAGTCTGCAGATATGTGCATCTTTTCATGCATGAAAGAAAAGGAGGCATAAACAGCAAATGAACGAAAAAGTTCATCTGGGGATGAATTTTAGAAAAATCGTCCCAAAACAAGACGTCAGCTTCATAGTATTAATTCATAGTATTATTAGCTAGTTCTTTTAAGGGTTATAATTTGACCAAGAAATGCAGGTACAAGGAGAGACGATGGGATATAATGCAATTTATTGCTTCCGGAGGGATGCCTTCTTCTCATTCATCGACAGTTACAGCTCTGGCAGTAGCTATCGGTTGTCAACAGGGATTTGATGGTTCTGTATTTGCCGTCGCAATGATAGTAGCATGCGTGGTAAGCACAAATTTGGTTGGTTTTCTCTCAAATATTCATGAACTTGAAGAATTCTTGATAAGGTGAAATTTTGGCTTATCATTTTTCACAAATATGATGCCAATCAATAATCGTGCTAATTCCATATAAATTTAGACATAAGACCGTGTGCTTCCTATATCTATTTAGAAACTAGATTGAATTAGTGTCATTTTCAGAATAACTTGTATCCTTCACTAGAAATTATTAGATCGATTTTGTTTATATCAGTTTGTCAGATTCAAACTCATGCTAACAAATTTTGCATGATTAGTTTTAATTTGTAAAAGAAGAGCCTATTCTCTCAAATTTCATATTTAGAGTGAACTAATTTTTCCGTGTTTTCATTTTTCACATGCCAGGTAATGTATGATTCTTTTGGGGTTCGTTTGCATGCTGGAAAGCAGGCAGCGGTATGTTTTAACATCATGAGAGTGAAATGTTAGCTTCTGGATAATGCTTTGGAGTTATAACTCAAATTGATTTCATAATGACACTGGATTTTGAAAACATCTTAGAAATATATAGAGTAATGACTTTCGATCTTAAGTATGCGAAGTATAAGCACTTGTAAAGTCAAAACATAAAAGAGCTCTTACACATGCTCCTTCTCTGTTTTCTGTGCTAAGATGAAAATTGATATCTGAAAAGTTATAGAAATGGAAATTCTCAAAATCAGTGAATCGGGTTGGATTGTAAAGGAAAATTGATTTTCTTATTTATTGTCTATATCTGTGATATATAAGTACTAATCTGTTTTCGTTATCTCAATGCTGATTGACTTCAGGTACTAAATCAAATTGTATATGAACTACCAGCAGAACATCCTCTTGCAGAAACAGGACCTCTACGTGAACTTCTCGGCCATACTCCATTACAGGTTTATCAATATATCATTTGTTTTATATAAGTCTAATATTGCAATAAGTTGAATAGGAAATTGAATTTTTTTTAAGGTTTTGCATGGTTCTTTAGGCCTAGATCTTCTATTAATGTATATTTAGTATGTGTATATGCATGTCATCTATTATCCATTACTTGACAAAGCACTTTCCTTGTTAACATTGTTTACATCATATTACACATGTTGAAATCCAGTTTATTAAACAAAGTAACTGCAGAAAATATATAATAAACCTCAGACAAGTATTTTTTTTAATAACAAAAATTACACACAATTGGTATCTTGTTCATAAACTACGCTGATGAGTTGTAACAAATGTAGTTTGCACCCCACAATGATACATGTAAATTAATAACAGCTTCTTATTGTCAAGCAAATGTTAAAACATTGTGCACTCTCTCTCTCTCTCTCTCTCTCTCTCTTTTCTCTCTTTACATGACCTGATTTCATGACTGCTAACTAAATTGGATTAGAGAGATTTTGATTATTCACAAATTCAATCATAATCCAACGATAGAAAGTTAATTGATGTGAATTGCTCTCATTCATTTGCCTTGTATCAAGAATTCGAAAATATTATGGATATTTTATATTTATACCCCAAAAAAATTATATTTTTGTTTACTGTTATGTGGATGGAGTGTTTATGTTTTCTCGATATCTTTCAGGTTGTTGCTGGTTCAATTCTTGGTATAGTTATAGCTGTTTTCGGATACTTGATACACACTGGTTTGAATTAATCTTCATTCTTTGCTTGGCAAGGATACTTGATACACTCAGACTGCCGGTATTTCGGAGTAGGAAAAAACCTAGCTTCACCTTGAACTACACTGTGATTTTTGTGATTAATACCGATTGTATATGTTTTTGACCCTGTAATTGGGCAGGTTAGAGGATACGCCGTTTCGATGATAAAATTTTTCAGTGGCCAAGTTTTAGTTGAGTATATGTATCAGTCAATTTTACTAATGTAAATAACAATTCTTTACATGCCTTATGGCAAATAATGCTAATGCATTGTTCATATTCTTAGCAAGTGAAGAGTTTAATGGATGATAACATTTACCATTTGTTGGTAATACGTGCTTTTTTTTTTAAACTGCTTCAACAATGTGAAAACCACTCAGAAATCACCTATTGGATAATAAAAATAAAATTACATCTCTTCAGCAAATTCTCTTACATGTTCTGAATGAGAGTGAAAGAAAGCACCATGCAAATTGTCTAATTAGAATTACTCTTGATTGGGTTTTAAGGCTAACGGATCCGCGCTTGAATTTTTTTAACTCTTTTAAGAGTTTCAAAAAAAAAGAAAATCACTCAGGGCGTCTATCCGTACTTGGTAACTAACAAGAGGGATAGATAACAAAGGTTTTAAGTTCAATATAAATAGGGGTTTTTCGAAATTAGTTCCCCAAATCTTCATATTTTGAAATTAGTACGTCAAATCTTTAAGCATTTTGAAATTAATCCCCCAAATCTTCATACTTTTAAGTTAGTCCCCCAAATCTTACAAAGTGGTGCTAACTAGTGGGGTTAATTTCAAAACATTCAAAAGATTTTTAAGATCGATTTCAAAAATATGAAAAGAGTGGGGAAACAAATTCAAAATACTTAAAGATTTGCGGGATTGATTGCAAAATATTGAAGATTTGGGGGATTTATATACATCGAGAAAACCCATACAAATATGACCTTTATTTAAAAATTATACGGTGTCTCTGAATTTAAATCCACATAAGGTTTTTTTTTCCAGGATTAACCCCAATACTTATTAAGATTCGCGCTAAGGTGACAGTTTGATCCATCCATTTCAATTTCTATCAAGTTGACTACTTGGATGCCACAAAAAAAAAGTAGAAACAGGATATTGACAATTATATGTACTCCAATATATAGAAACATAATATGAGGAAATTTCCCTTTGCAGTATATATGTGCTCGTAGTATTTGAATACAGTAATGTGCAACCAATGATTTGGCTCTGAAAACTTGGCTAGTGTCCAAAGATGGAAGCAATGCTTTGCTCCCCATTGTTCTTGCAGCGAGGGCTCAAGATTGTGATAGTTGTAGGGGAGAGAGAAAACACCGACACTGTTCCCTACAGAGATCAAACGTCAATTGCTTACAGCTATAAATCAATCAGTGTTCTGTTGCGTTTTGTTATTGGATGCAGGAGAGCTGTTCTTGTCTTCAATGTTGTATTCTTGCAGCAGCAAGCCAGGAGTAAATCAAGAGGAAACTTAAGCTGGTTTTTTAACTACTATATATTAACCTTTTGAAAATTAAGGTGGAGATTCAATGTAATAATCTTTTTTTTCCCCTTATTATTAACTTCAGGTTATTTAATGTATTGCCTTACACGTGAGCAAATGCAAGAATTGCGGGAAGAAACTTATTTTAGGGGTTGTTTTGTTTGCTTTAAGTGTGTCTAGTAACATCTCCAACAGCTTCCTCATTTCCCACTTTTGGAGAATATAGTTAGATTTTTGGTCCAACAGATTCCCCATCTCATTCCCCAAAATAGGGATGGAGGAGAAAAAATGGGGAAGCTTCCCCAAATCTGCAGCATTCTCCAAATTTTTGGAGAAAAAAAAGAGATTCTTCAAAATGAGGAAGCTGTTGGAGTTGGTGTAAAAATAATTTGGAGAATATGAGTATTGCTTCTCTATTTTGGAGAAAATTTTAGAGAAGCTGTTGGAGATGCCCTAACTGGTGCACAGATCCTTTGCTATTTTAATACACATAATCACATGTGAATGACTAAATGTTTCCTCACTTTTAGCCTTAATTACACATATGAAAAGTCTCTGTCAATATACCACAACTCCAAAGTTCGTGAATTACCAAAACTCTGAGGTTTCAATGGGAGTTGAGAAGCATGTTGATAAGAAGTCAAAGGACTTGTCACTATGATCAAAATTATGGATATTACAATGAGAATTGAGGGAAGTAGTTATATAATTCAACAAATATCATCCAATGTTTTGCATCCTGGATAGAATAGTTTCAATAGGGTCTTGAACAAAAATCATCCATTGTTGGGCGTCCTAGATCAAATAGTTTCAATAGGGTCTCATGCATCATGTGATCCTGCCCATTTTCTTCCATCAATTTATGTACTCTCTTTCTCCAACAAGATTTAAAAAAAAAAAAAAGCAAAGAAAGAATAGATAAAATATAGCTCTCTCATTGAGAGAGTGACTCTTCCTAGCATTTGCTCGTGTACTCTGCGCACACTAATAATGGGGACCAGGGCCAGTACTCAACCAGTACAATATTTTTTACTGCTCCAATGCAATCCTACGCCCAAAGTCCCACTCCACAACTTGCTTCATTTTACGTAGGAAGCTGAAAAGTTTACCATTTTCGATGTGGGATCATTCTCATCTTTTCACCGCTCATTTTGGATCTCTCTCTCTCTCTCTCTCTCTCTCTCTCTCTCTTCTTCTCTTCTCTTGCACTTCTTTGACTTCTTGCTCCTTTTTACCTCCATCTCTCTCTCTGTCACTCACCACTTGAGATCTCGCAAGGACTAAGCAATGCCCAGCTGAGCTTGTGACTTTATTCTGCGATGCCCATGTGTTGAAAAGCCTGTCGTAGGATATTATAGAAATTATATTTCTTTGTTTGTTGGTCACTGTTGGCACCAAAGGGGATCTCACGGTGTTTCTCTTTGTTTTGGGCTGAAGGAGACTGAAGTCGTCTGAGGTTTAGTCCCACATTTGGGTAAAGCTGAGTTCATGGGTTTCTTGAGATTTGTGTAACATTTGACTTGTAACCTGTAGGAAGAAGC